TGGGTAGGGTGTGGATTGTCTGTCTGCAGAGGAGGGGGGCCCTGCAGGGTCACCCCTCTGTCCCCAGACACCCTGAGGGGGTGAACTGGGAGCCCTGGGGTGCCCATCCCCTGTCCCTGCAGCATCTGTCCCTTGTCTCCTCCCCTTCACCCACTAAATCCCTTTGGATCCCCTTGCTGACACTCCCTACAGCTCCTGTGCTGGGGGGGGGGGGGTCTATGGACCCCCACAATTTTCAAGGGAAAGGGGGGTTTTGGTTTTGTGGGTTTTTTTTACCAGTTCACCTGAAATTCTTAGAAAACAAGAAGCCAAAGTGTTTCAACACCCTCTGCCATCAGAGGAGGGAGGATCCAGGTCTGACCTTTGGGGTGTGTGTCCCCCCCACGGATCATTTTATCTCAATCCCAGCTCTTTCCCCCACCCCCAATTAATTAAATCCTTGGTGTTATGAAAGGTCTTGTCAGTGGGATTGGGGATGCAGGGCCAAGCCCTCCCTTAAGCACCCTAAGATATGCAGCTCTGCTGCTCCTCTCTGTGGCCTTGACCCAGCTCTGGGAAGGATTTCTCAAGCAGGAACACCCCCCAACCCCCCCACGTCTCTTGGGGGGCTCTTGGTGGGTGCAAAGGCAGAAAAAAAAAATCAGATATAAATAAAAGATACATTTTCTTTTCAACCCTGCAAAGTGATTGAGCTGGGGAACTGCTTGCCCAGGAGCTCCAGAGGCTTGAGAGCTTCAGCAGAGGAGTTTCTGCAAATAGTAACATCTGTAGGTGTTTAAGGGCTAAAACACACCCTGCCCCAAACTGGGGGGGGTTCTGGATCAAAGCTGGGCAGCTGGGTACTGGAATGGATCCCCCACCAGGGCTGGGGTGGGTTCCCCTGGAGCTGGAGTGAGTCTCCCTTGGAGATAGGTTGAGTCTTCCTAGAACTGGGATGTGTCCCCCAAGGTTGGAATGAGTCCCCTTCGGTCTGGGATGAGTCCCACTGGAGCTGGGATGAGTTCTCCAGGTCTGGGATGAGTCCCCCTGGAGTTGGAATGAGTTCTCCAGGGCTGAGATGAATTCTCCTGGAGCTGGGATGAGTCCCCCTGGAGCTGGGATGAGTTCTACAGGGCTGGGATGAGTCCTCCTGGAGCTGGGATGAGTTCTCCAGGGCTGGGATGAGTTCTCCAGGACTGGGATGAGTCCTCCTGGAGCTGGGATGAGTTCTCCAGGACTGGGATGAGTCCCCCTGGAGCTGG